AGCTGGCCTTCTTAATCAATTATTGATATTATCAATTATGAGATATATAATACAAAAAACAGTCAAAATATGGATATTATTTGAATTCATCCAATATATTTCTAAAACTCATTATTACATTACTCAAGTACTGTAGCTACTTCAGTACAATTTTGAAGGACTTGTACTTTACTTAACTATTTCAGCTTTTTGGCCAAGTATGTAGGCCTATACTCTCAGTACACAGAAATATACAGCTAAAAACAAGGACAACGCTTGACAAATTTAGACATTACTACTACTACTACTATGTAGATATATAAATATTAAATCGTATAACAACAACATTGACATTTGTCAGCAAGAAGAAAATGGTGTAATGTTGAGTGCAAAGAGTACTGGAATAAATATGAAATCATTGGTTTCCTTTTATAGCCTATAGGTGGATATGACAGTGTTACGCATGTATACAATGTACAATGTACAATACATACTATGTGTAGATTTATATTTGACACTGATGATATGTGCACATAAAGAAAAAAGTGTGTAATTAAACTACAAAAGAACCTAAAAAACCTTTATAATTTCCATTTTCTGATACTTTATTAAGACTTAATGCTTCATTCCAGAGGGAACTATTGTGCTTTTTACTCCACTACATTTATTTGATAACTTAAATGAGATTTTGTGAGCCTACTTTAGAGATTCTATTAATAATGAAAAATATAAACAATAAATAAATGTCGATTATGTATTATTATAGGTTAAGATAGGGTAAAACTTTATTGATCCTGGGGGATAAATTCACAAGCAACCTGGCAGTTTATAAAGCAATTGAAATGAGCCATTTACCAGCTGCAACATTAAAGTGACACATTTATGCATTAATAGTTATAATCCAGTAATGTAATATATATTATGCTACTCTGAAAGGGGCCATTCTGCATAATGAGCACCTTTTTGATATTGTGATACTAATACTTTTGTACTTTTGGTCAAGTAAACGCTTGAATGCACAACTTTTACTTGTAACAGAGTATTTTTCTTCAATGTGATATTGCTATTTTTAAGTAAAAGATGCAGAACTTCTTCCAGCACTCTCACTTAGCATATAGCATATGACCTCAGCATCTTTTATTGATATACTGTTGGACATAACTATGCAGCCAAAATCTAGTAAGTAAGCAAGTAAGTAAGCTTTATTTATATAGCACACAGTCACAAAGAGCTTATATTTTCTATTATATTTTATAATATTCTTATTTTGTGATTCTTTATTGTACTTTTACACTAATGTATTTTTTGCACTACATCCCCTTATGCCTTTGTGTCTGATTTGAATTTCTCCTACGGGGGATCAATAACGGAACATCTTATCTTATCTTATCTTCAGAAACAACCAAATGTATAAACACACACACACACACACACATATACATGCATATATACATATAAATGTTTAAATTCATAAACACACATACATAGTCATATAAATACATAGGGAACACATAAATACAAACATATGGAAGATAAAACAGTGTTTTATTGTTGAATGTAGTGTAGTGTATGGGTTATTGTAGCTGCACCTGCGCCCAGCAACAGGTAACTACTCTGTGTCTGTCTCTTTAGCGGCTGTTTGTCTCCCCCTAGCGGCAGCCTCAGATTCAGCACCTTCCTCTACCTTTACGTCACCTGCTGTATTTTCTACAGGTAGCAGTAAATCTTCACTTCTGTTTACCCCTGACAGCAAATCACGACAATGGAAATGCACATGCAAACACTGTATTAAAAGGAGCAGGACGTTTACATTTAGTTTAAAGTGTCTAATTCACCTGCGTGCCCTAGGAAAAAGAGCCACCTGGAATAAATACGCGCACACACACACACACACTCATACACACGGGAAACCAAACTCTCAACGTTACATATTTGCACCTGTGTGCTCACTGTGTCAGAGCAACCAGGTGAAACTTTATTGCCAGCCTCTTCCACGGAACCCTCCCACTATTTGCATACAGAGGAGCAGAGCGCCGCCCTCCGCGCTCGGTTTCCATGTACTCCTCTAACCGGACTTCTCTCTAGTTTGTCCAGCTGAGGTGGAAGTTTAACTGGGACGGCTTACCTCTCCGCTCCGCCACCGCTGAACCCCCCCCACCCCCAATCAAAGGAAAACAACCCCGAGGAACACTGCGCGGTTTTATCCCGCAGACACTTATTCGCTTTGCGTAACTTCCAGCTTTCTTCTGTTGGATTTCTCTCTCTCTCTCTCTCTCTCTCTCTGTCGGTTTTGTGGGGGGTCTGAGCTGATCCTCCCCGATTCATCAAGATGTCTGTCCAGTCGAGCCAGAAAACGACAACGACCTACCGGACCTTGAAAGTTGCCTCTCCTGAGCCGATGGCCAGCACGGTGCTCTCGGGCGGGTCGATGATCTCGGGCCAGTCGGTGCTCTCCGGCGGGCCGGTGCTCTCCTCCGGCTCGGTGCTCTCCTCCGGCTCGGTGTCCTCGACCGGGTCGGTGTCCCCGATGAACGGCTATGAGACGGTGCGCTACCTGGTCCCGGTGCAGCAGCAGTCCTACATGCCGGTGCAGCAGCAGTCCTACATCCCCGTGCAGCAGGCCGTGCAACAGCAGTCCTACGTCTTCATGCAGCAGCCTATGATGCAGCAGATGGTGTCCCCGATGTACCTGCAGAGTATGCCACACCTGAGCGTCAGCAGCCAGGAGTCCGACCTGCTGTACCAACAGCAGAGCACGGTGGAGGTGAGACCTATGTTCTTCTCCTCATGAAAAGGCTTGTTAAAACCATTATTATTATTGTTATTATTATAAGGGAGACTGGAACAAAACTTTTTTGGGACCCCAAGCAGAATGTGACCCACCCTGAACATGATAACTTATATTTTTTGTTCAATGCAAGATTTTAATAACCTAAAGTTATCACAGTTTTATGGTATTATTTCTTCAAATTTACTGAATTCACTGAAAAACACATTTAAAACCATGATGATATTGTGGTCTGTACCAAACAAACATGTTTTCTTACATGTGGAGAACTTACAGGCCAGGTCATCCTGCAGAACTACAGTACTTCATTGTAATGCTGTTCTGTTACACACTTTTTAACACCTTTATCAGAAAATATTTCACTTGGCCATATTGCGATATCAATAATATTTTGATTTAATTATGCAGTCCTAGTCCAGACTTGATGGTCTTTGCCCAGATTTCATGAGTGTCTCTTAAGTGTCTGTCTCAAACTGTGTCTGGGCTGTTTAACGCCTCAGATCGTTCAGAAGTTTGTCAGTCTCAATAAGTTTCAGTTGGCAGAGCAGGATAAGTGGTCGACTGCGTGGTGTGAACAGAATGAGCAAGTTTGCTGCTGCCAGAAGCAGAAGCATTCCCAGTGTAAGCATGTTTCCCGCTCAGTGATGAGTTCTTAATTCTGACACAGTGCTTTGAACTTTCACAGCCTGTGATTAGAGAGAGATGGATGAATGTGACAGACAGTTTTTGGCACTGTGGAAGACTTTCCATGTGCCACTTGTGGTGAAGAGCAGACATTGTTATTACATAAAGGAGAAAATGCAATTCAGTATGACACACTGTGTTACAGGACATATTACACCTGAGAATTGGGCCATACAGTTTCTATCTTATCAATCCAATTGGTTGTTTGTCAGTTACACTTGTATGTAATGTTTTGATATTGGTACTGAAACTCGAGTGCCGTATTGGTGTGGACATCAAACATTTAATTGTCATTAATTGTGTTTTAAAGTGTCTTTTTAAGATTTGGCTACCACTTCGCTCCTTGACAGAATGAGCTCTAGTGAACATCAACTTCCAACACCATTTAATGAAACCCATGCCACATGTCACTGCCAAGATACAATGTGGCATTGTTAAAGATAAATGTGCTGCAGGCCTTTAGAGTTTGCCACCTGTTACCGTGCTCGCTCGCAGCTCTGGTTTATCTACCTCTTCCTCCTTATTGATTACTTTTTAAGCGTCAGTCTAGTCCTGCCAGCAAACTCCTTCCATTCTGCGGTTTCAGTCATTGCACTCTGAGCTAAACTCTCATGGTGTGTTTGATAGGGAAGCGGTGCCACACCCAGTATGACTCTGCTGACAGGGCACACCCTTACATTTGAAGACAAACATTCTTGAACCTAGTTTGGATCACCTCTGCTGAATTCGATTGCACTAATTAGCGGTTAAATGGCAGGGTTCTCCCTCTTCTGAGAGACACAAAATTACCTTGATTTATTAATTCGGTAACTTATATTTCACTGTTGAAAATGATGCCATGATTTGCGAGAATACTGCACTCTGATTGGCTGGAGGGTATCCATATACAGTACAGTATATACCAGTGAAATCTGTTATTGCAGCCTGTAAATGTAAATCAAGAGAGAGTTGCTTTAATGTTGCTTCGCTCAGTGTTTTGACTTCTATTTAACATCAGTTGGCTTAGTAGTGCTGGAAACATTAACTGGTCATCCAAGACAAGTATGAGTCAGCTTTTGAGCCTAGCAGAGAAAGTCATGCAAGAAAAGTCCAAGTCAAGTCTCTAGTCTTTAAACCCCCATTGGAGTCAGTTAGGTGTCTATATGCACATTGCAGGTAAATGTATTTTTTTGTTCTGAGATTTTACCAGGTCAAAACATCAACATCAAAACAAAAAAAGTCAAGTGATGTTTCAAGTCCTGATTTCTGAGTTCAGTTCAGGTGTCAAGTCGACAGACGTGGCAACAAAACAGTTATGTCAGATTATTAACACAATTCAGAGTTCAGTCTGCATTTTTCTCATTTCACAAATTTGTCAGTCAGTCAGTTGGAGTCCATGTTTGACATCATTGTGTCACAGTTGACTTAAACTCATCAGCGTCTTACGTAATGCACTTCTTTATAGGACTCTTTACGGTGCCTCCACCCAGCTGATACAGAAGTGAAACATGTTTTAACAGCTATTTTTGTTTTAACATTGTCCTCACTTTGCTATCAATAACCACAATTCTCCCTCCATCCACCATGATACACTACAGGTCTGAAACAGGAGGGATCACATGGTCAGCGTTTTAAATGGGTTTGTTTTCGCCAACTGCTTGATGGGCCAACAGTCACAGTACAAGAAACAGACAGTTTACTTATTATGCACTTTCTGAGTTGCCTTATATTTCCCCTTGAGAGACAACTTAATTATTTTAAATTGAATTGAAAGTGCATACAGTTTCAATCCATTCATTTTACTAATAAATACTTAAAGGTTTGGCTGTTTCAAGGCTGAATCAAGATATACCTGACCTGCTTTAATATTTAATGTGAGTCAAAAGCAAACATTTTAATTGGTAACATGGTTTTAGAACAGCTCAAGGATCAAGATGATGTCATGCATTGTATTTAGTGGTCCGATGACAGAAGTTTTTTATTTTCTGTTCAAGTCTGACAATCTCTTCTTCCTCTCTCCCTCTTTCAGAGCATCAGCGGGCAGTCTTCAGTGTTTAGCCAGTCGTGCAGTCCTATCAAGAGCCCTGAGCCAAGTGCTGAGGAGGAGGCAAGCACGCACACACACACAAACACATGCACACGCACACAATATAAAAGCCTTCTTATTGGTGAAACCCTCAGTAAAGCAGAAGTCTGGCAACCACACAAGCATTTGCTTTAATTAGTGTAAACCTACTGGGGCAAAGTTAGTTCAGTTTAGTTTCGATTCATCTCATTCACTCACTTTGTGTTATTTTTGTGATAAAACACAGATGAAAACATAGAATTAACAGATAAAACAAATTAAGTTGATGAGCCTAAAAAAAAGCAAACATTTGACTGACTTCAGTTGAGTCACAGACATGGTCAATGCCCTTGGCAAGCACAACATACCTACTGGCAAATGAGCCTGTAACGTGTGGCAACAAGTCATTCCACTCTTTAAAAAAAAATCACTTAGATTGAATGAACTATGAGTGAGCTGTAAGAGAAGTGTTGCAAGTGTCGACCCATGGCTACTCTAAAGTAAAGATGGCTATGAATCTGACCAGACAACTTTTGATAGTGACTGCTTTTGATGCTTGGTGCTGTATACAACTCCAATACCTGGCCCTGGTTACACACTCGGTGGCTGTATAATCCATTAAATACAACAGCTTTTCCATAAATACCTTTATACACAAATACCTACCTACCTTTGCAAGGTTTATTTTCAGTTTTCGGAAATATGTTAATTTGATTGGTTAACGATGGTGTTGCACTGGACAGGATTATACTGAGATGTGTTTTGTCATCCCTATAGATACACAAGGGGGACAATATATTTAGAAATGCCCCTGAATATGATGCAGTCTGCTATCTGTCTATGACCTTAGTGCTAAAACATATATTTAAATTACCACCTGACACACATGACAGTGTCCAAGAAATGATTATAAAAGTAGACTTTATGACAGAACATGTGGAACCCAACGTTTCGATGTCTTTTGACCTGAAAATCAACAAACTCGCACTTGTCTGAGTTCTCCGTTTTGGTCAAATTAAAGCCTGCATTGTGGTTTGCGCCCTTGTGCCAACTGTCCAAGTGAGTCACGGTTTGAAGTACAAACTTGTGGCAAAAGATATGTCTTCTAAATGGGAAAGAAAAAAATGCAGAGGGGGGTGTGGAGTCCATCTGTAGGTTCTGTGCTGACACACCCATCAGCATGAAACCTCGACATGGGAACATGTCGGTGTGTGAAAGAACAGTAGCATAACAAACGTCTTCTATAAAAAAAACCTTCTCAATTCAACCTGGGATATTAACCCACACGCATGCTCTCTCTGCATGCAGATACACCCTGCCTCCACATTCACAGTTACAACAAGCATGTGTTCATAATCCCAGGACCTTCAACTGTCGCAACACTGACAAACCATTTAAGGTGGGTGTTAAAATGGGGTGTGTCCGGCAACTTCCCAGAGGCCTCTGCTGTGGGTGGGTACATTCCTTTGATTTGAACCTGCAGCGTCATGTATATGGCTGTTGTCAAAACAGGGAGGTTCTCTGATTTATAGTGACGTCTTGGCATAACCTGAGAAAGTCCTAACTGAATTTGCATATACAATCATAGTAACTGTTTTATTAATTGGTTTGAGTGACAGTCAGTCGGCAGTTGTCGTACGTGAGAAAAACTTTGAAACACCTTCCACCTTCCTCCCAAATTAGTTAGTTATAATAATTATTTAATTCATTCATTTAGTCTCTTTGATCACTTTGGTTTAATTTAGTCTATAAAATATTAAAATAAATAGTGAAAAATGTCCATCACAATCAACCAGAGTCCAAGGTGACGTCGTCATAATGATTTTTTGCCAAACCAACCAGATCCTAAAAATATTTAGCAGGTACAAAACAGAGAAAAGCAGCAATATGTGACATTTGAGACGCTGGAACCAGCTAATGTTTTTCATTGTTTTCTTTATTAATGACTTAAATGGTCAGTTCATTCTGTGCTGAATGAAGTAATTACTCAGCTAACAATTTTAAGAGTCTGTCCTTTTGTCTTTTTGCCCTCTTTTGAATACTTGAGCTTTTTGAGTCTTGACTGGTTGCATCGTTCAAGTCTGGTCAGGTTTGTTCAGCTCATTTCTGTATTGTCCTAAAACAGGAAAATGTTTTTGCAGTGAGGCTGAAACTGAAAAAAAACCTGACAGTGTAAAACAAACTGTCACTGAAAAAAGACAAAAACGAAAAGATTGTCATTGACAAACCCAAAATATCACCATCCATAGAATCATATAGAATCATAACCATCAGAATACAAAACAATATAAGTACCAATACAACAACCACACAAGGCCAAATTAAAAACACAATAAAACAATAAGATAAAAACAAGATACGACATAGACAAACTCGGTACAAAAGTCCATAATAAAACTGCAACAGGTGGATTTATGTAATGGAAATTTCAACCTGTCGCACCTAATTTTTGGAAAATGTATTATCTCTGACTAGACTCTCTGGCTTCTGTATATGTGGTTGTTGGCTGAAAGTTGTGTGAGCCACTTCATTAATGTAAGTGAAGCCTTATCTTGTCATAAAGCTGCGGTTATACAGTATTTATTAAGAACTTTTAGAAGTAAGTTTAGTAAGTTTTCTGCATCTGCTGATGCTTAAAACCTTAGAGTGTGTGCTGCAGTTACCTCTGCCTCTAATTAGCTTTCTCTCCAGCTCACTCAGTGTCTTCAGAGAATAATTTTGGCTGCCAGGCTTCAGTCAGTAATCTGTTAGTCTGCTTTTCTCAACAAGATGATTTTATTATCTTAAGGGACCAAGCTAGATGAAACTTGTTGTCAGGGATAAACAATGACCACACCCATCTGTGTTTTTCTGGAAGAAGGGTGTTTCTCAGCCTTAATGAATCTTTGGGGTTTTTTATGTTTCAATTAATTCAAAAACATCAGAAGCTATTATGAGTGTCAGTGTGTCTGTAGTACAATAGGACACATTTTATATCCTTCAAAACTTTGGCTTAGTGAATTGCATTTTAAAGTTTCTAGTCTCACAGAATCCGTTTGTAATAAAAACAAACCCACTGGTGAAACGGGAGGAGCTGAAGTGCTTAAGGTGTATGTGTGTGTGTGTGTGTGTGTGTGTGTGTGTGTGTATGTGCGTGCCTGTATGTGTGTGCGTGGGATGCAAATGGGTTAAAAAAAGTTCATGGCTGCAGTGTGCAGTGAAGGCTGATGTTTGATGACTGACAGACAATTGCCCAGCGAGAGGGGGAAAAAAACCTCTGATTGTTCCTCTGCAGATTGAGGACAACACACACACAAAAAAAAAAACCAACACAAACTCACACAAGCTAAATGATACTCTGATTTAACTTAGACTCACATACAGATGCAATTGACTTACAGTTTATCTTTATTCAACTTAGGTTATAGTCACAGTGCTCTACAAGGTTGTCAGGGTACAAGGAAATAAAAGGAGTGAGAATATGAGTATATATATTCATGAGAAAATGCAAGTGCTTTTAAAGTGTACGTACTGTGGACATCAGGAGCAAGAGAAAGAATTCATGTTATGTAACACACCCTGTGGCAACCACATGTAGGTTTAGGGAGCTGCCTAATGACTGTATGAAGGGGTGAGCTAGTATACAAAGAACCATAACTGTAAATTGTTATTTTACTTTTATGAAATGCAAATCACATAAATGGTATCTGTCTTAAGTGTAAGCTGCCCAGTGAGGTGTCACAGGACTAATATTTATGATCTTTGAAAAAACTGAGATACACGGAGAAATAAAGATTTTATTGTTAAAGTACAGTTAAACTAGTTTAGTCTTTTGGTATCACAACGATGTGTCAGCACTGTCAAGTTTGTTGTAGTTGGAATCAAGTCCCTTTTCATGGTCTTTAGACAACAGTGACAAAACCAACATAACACGATTGATTGATTAACAATGAGGTGCAGTGATCACTGTCTGAGTGGAAGGTGTGGTAAACTAACAAAATCAAAAACCGCCTTTGAGTAACCGATTTTTCTCAAGCTACAACTCTGTACTAGTTCTGTAGTTCTGAATTGTACCAAAAGCCTAAAGATATAAAGACCATGCATTTTCTTGAGTCACTTGATCAAATAAATAAAAAAGACTGGATTGACCGCATTTGTTCCCAGCCTAAATCTCTAAAAAAAAACCTGCATGAACGTGGCGACAAGAGGCAAAAAGTTGGAAATGTCGCTAGGTTTTTACCCTAGTCAGCAAGAACCATACATCTCACAAGGGCTGTCTCTCTAAAAGTTATAAGGTGACACGTTGTCATGAGTTAGTCAGTCTGCTTCCTAATATGGAAACCTGAAGCCAAGCCTTCAGCTATAACTAAGGGTTCAGTCTGTACGGCAACGGAGCACAGCTGTATATGTTAGAATACGAATCCACCTGACAGAGATGACTTATTGATTATTCCATTGGAGTGCAGTAAAATATGAGTTTCCACATTGTAAAAGAATGAATACTCCTGCAAAAGTAGTGAGGCTCAGCTTTTGGTTTGTCACTTTCATTAGGCAATAAACAAACAACACAACTGTTTCTTCAGTCTGTTTTTTCATTTGCATTTACACATACAAGCCAACAAAACCTTTTGTATTTAATTTGTCTGTGGGCTGTTTTCTTGGTTTGGGATCAGCCCTTGAAATCCAATGGGAAATGTTAATGCTCCAGTTTAGAGAAGTTTCAACATGACAGTGCCCCATGTGTATATGTATATGTATATATATATATGTATATGTATATGTATATATATATGAAAATGGTTTACCCAGTTTGTCTGGCCTGCACAAAGACCTGAAAGCCTTTCGCTGTCTGCATACTTTTGTCCATGTAGTGTGTCTTTGACCTGCACTGCAACCCAGAGTAATACAGTGACACACACTGATTTAATTGTGTGTATATGCATCCAGTAAATACCTAACATTTATTTGTAAGCCAGCAGGTATACATCTCTGTATCACAGCGTGTAAACAATCAACTTCCAGTTAGTACTCTTAACAAAAATACTCTAGTGAGAGAAGAGCTG